TAGTATTATAAGTGAAATGGCCCATAAAACAAAAAGTATTTGTATGCCTCGATATGGTTGTATTCTTATTATTGCTAACTCAATGTCCACTTCCCCCTCTGGGTGGGCATACATTTACCAATATTCCCCCGTCACTCTTAAAACAATCTCTAGGTATCTTTTTAACTCCTTTTTGGAGCCATGCCAACGGTGTCGGGTGACAGTAGCTGGATTCTATAACACAGTGTGGGCACACTTCTCCCTCTTGGGGTGTTATGCACACCTGGAACTCAGGTTTTCTATATGGTTCAAATGGTGCAAGGGGTAAGGCGTGAGTCTCAGAAGAGAAATTCCATGGATATCCCAAATCTAGCAGAACCAGCTCCTGCTCTGCCTTTTTCCCATGTGTTGACCAAATACTATACTCCCCCACACTGACCTTGATTATTTCCACAGTCTGATTAAACATCTCCTTCTTCTCCCTTTCCTTGTTGCTATTGTCATGCACCACTCCCTATCTGGACGCTTCTGCTTTCCCCTCACTATCACTTCTAAATCCAAATTAAACTCTATCTCATTCCTTGTTAGCTTCAGGTTTCTTATGTCAAACGTTTCTGTCTCTTGTACTGTTATCCTCGTATTTTGACTCCAAACCCATGCTGGCACTCTTGCCCCAAATGTTTTCTCCAACACCCAATTACTCAATAAATGCAGTACATGCGATTCATTTGACATTGAGGTGCAATCTTTTAGGACGTGAACAAAGAATGAAACCAAGGTTCCTGCATAACCATTTGATTACAAATTCTATTATCAGCATATTACTTCCCACCAGAGTTTGTCAATAGCTATTAGACGATATGAGTCTTTTGTCTCAATAACCCACCATTCAAGGTCATCAAACCCAACTTCCTCAAATTCAGGAACTGCATACACATCTACACAAGTTAAATGTCTTTCAAGATACACTTCTGCTGCCATGTTTGTCAGCAAGTGAATGATCATATCCACAGAAAAGAAACAGTCAGTACAGTTGCATGATTATAATGAAGTAGAGAACACAAATACCATTCGCTGCATGCTGGATGTCACCACAATTCTATGTACTCTTGCATTACGAATACTCTTCCATTCTTCTTCACTTTGTACTCGTGCACAATGTGGTCTCTCCGTTTCATACATCCATCTCTGAATGACAGGGCCTCCAGCGAGGCTAGAACCATCATCAGAAATAAGAATAATAAAATGCCTTTCAATAATTATCCCATTAGCCTTTTCAGTTAGTATATGAACAAGCATTTTAGAAACAGCACATACAACTCAGCCTATATTGTTTGCTCTTATAGCTTCCCCACTGCTCCTTTGGCAGCACAATCACACAAGGCTGATTGTACCTCTCATATACCCACCTTTCTGGTGCTGTGTCTGTATCAATCTTCAAACCAATATAATGCCATATTACTAACAATCCATATACAGTTTTGGTCATCAGGTGAACTAACATGCTTTGGCACAGCGTCCTGTGCTTTTATATTTTCAGACTGCAGTCTTTAATTTCCAAAATCCCCAGCTAAATCAATTTTGTAAACAGTGCACTTGTTTTCAGTTAATTTTGGGTACTTTCCAGATATCTTACTACCCTGCTTTTATACGACTCCTTAATCTATTTTTTCTTATTTGATGGCACGCCAATGTACTTCTTATCATTAGAGTCTACTTTATAGCATTAAGACAGTGGTACTCCTAGTAGTTTCCATCTGTGACCTTGTCTTGTCAAAGCAACAATCTTATTTCTTTTACACACACACCTTTGCCGGCACACACACACTCTGGCCAGTGCTGCTGCTTCCAGCAGTCTTTGTCTCTCACTTTGGAGACTTGCTTGCTTCTTTTGTCCTAGCTCTAGGACTGTCCCTCTCTTGGGGACTGTGCACAAATCTAAATACCTGCCTGTTCAGACCATTTCCTGGTACACTTCTGCAACACAGGAAAAGCGGTATCCACAGGACTTACTAACAAAAAAAAAAGAATTCTTCACACACCATCGCAAAACAATTTTGATACTAACACACAGACACAGGCCTTTAGGTAATGGAGAAGCCTTACTCCACATAAGCAGCCTCTCACCAAGAGCTGCTGAGTTTACAAACCTCAATTCTCAACATTCCCCAATGCTAAGAGTAAGCAGAAAAGTTCACAAAGTCTTACATGAATCTCAACAATTAGTAAGTGTAGTAGATCAATGCAAGACAAATCAGACACACACACTAAAAGCGAAAAATACAAGAAGCCAACCCACTATCATCATGTTCAACTGCCCCCTCTGGTTGCCTTCATTCATCCACACACATCATATACCTGTTCACACTTTTGCATCAGACTCTGACTACAAACTTTTAGGGTCTGTTGAGGAGAGGCGAAGTACTGCTTTGACCTGGGCGAAAACTCACTATTCTCAGGTGCAACCAGTACTACATTCAGCAGACTTCTGTGAAAAAGGCTCTGCTTACCTTTTTTACAGTGGCCGCTGTCACACAGAGAAGCAGTGATTCCGTCCAAGCGTTCAGTTTCCTCGAGCCTCTCCTGGCTGGCTCGCCAATTAAATGTGGAAGAGAAAACCGCTCCAACCTGGGCCAAACAGCCGGGGGCCCTCACCACACTTTAATGCTCCTCAGGACTTCGCAAGTTCTTATTCAAACAAAAACAAAATCTACTATGTCTGATGCAGAATGGTTTATTGTATATTATCTGGAAACATTGCACAATAAGCCGGGATGGTCTGTGCAGAGCAGCAAAGGTTCACCAAGGTAATCCACCACTCGCTCTGAGGGGTCCACCACGCCTCGTCCATCTTTATTATTTGCAAAAAGTTATTTTTCCTCACCAGACGATGGCAATCCGCCCAATTTCAGTTACTCCCCAATATTATCTTACCCCGAAGGAAACCTTATTCTCATGAGAATGGTCAACAACCTAGACAGTTTTTCCCTCTTATCTTACACACACTCACACACACACTCATGTTTGTCTTTCTTTCGGACGACTGGAAATTTCTACACCATCTGTCTATCATACAGAAATTACATCAACTTCAACTTCACATTGAATGTCTTTATACATTTTATATACGTAACCCCTTGCAACTATAATTTCTCTAACAATTCCATATTGTTTTTCCAGGTTACCTTATTTAATAACTATCACAAACAATAGGCCTTGGCCCGTACGGGGGTCTAACCCACGACCTTGGCGTTATTTGCACCACACTCTGACCAGCTGAGGTAGCTGAGCTTCATGTATGCAGTCGGCTGCAACAAAAAAGTGTGCCCAAAAGCAGAGCGCGACGGAGCCACATGGTGTCAAAACACCAGACTGTAGAAGAGCAAAGGTCCCACCGACATTTGAACTCGGATTACTGGATTCAGAGTCCAGAGTGCTAACTGTTACACCATGGAACCCAAAGGATGATGGCCGTAGGGGGCGCCAATTCCCCAAAAGTGCTCTCCCATCCTGCCACTTCTTGCAAGGTCGTGCAGAGATACACGGCGGAGGAAGCAACTCTTTCTGTAACTGCCATTCCCAGCCATCTGTCTTTCAGCATGCGGTTTCTGTAGTGTAGCGGTTATCACGTTTGCCTAACACGCAAAAGGTCCTCGGTTCGAAACCGAGCAGAAACATGTTTTGACGGGCGGGGAATGGGACAAGGACCAAGCCCCAAGCTGTGCAACTGACAGAGACAGGTGGTGAACAGCGAGATCCAACAACGTGTTAGCATCATGTCGGGACAGCCGCAGCCGCCCTGCGAATGCTGTCATGAAAGTTCGGAACCGTGGGATGCTGTGCCATCTTCAATCTTGGGAGCCCTCAGGCTCTCTGAGGGCTGCAGGATGTGGTAATCCCCCTGACCGACCTGAGCTCAGCCTGCTGTTCAGGGAACCGCCCTTGAAATTTTTCTGTGCTGTGTGTCACAGTGGTACTGTCTTGCAACAGGAACACTTTGAATAGAATAGAAGAATGCCTTTTATTGTCATTGAACATAGAGTATACAATGAAATTTGGAGGGCTTCTCCTGGTCAGTGCAAAAAACAGTGTGGTATGCCGGCTGCTCAGCAGCAGACAAAAGAGCTCCGCAGAGGGTCATCAAAACAACTCAGAAAATCATCGGCTGCCCTCTGCCTTCCCTGGAAGACATCTCATGGTCTCGGTACCTCTGCAGAGCCAGAAACATGATTAAAGACCCCTTCCATCCTGGACAGCACCTGTTCAACCTCCTGCCATCTGGGAGGCGCTACAGGTGCATCAAAACCTGGACAAACAGAGTCAAAAACAGTTTCTTTCCCTGGGCCATCATAACTCTAAACTCCCTAACATGACAATTTCTGTTACTCAATGTACCACCTCGTTATCACTATCACTAAGTATTTATTACGTTTTAAGTGCATTATTTTGTTCTTTTATTATGTATCGAATGGGTTTATCATGTGTTGTATGGGTATTTAACAATGTATTGAATGTTTTTTTTTTTTAAACTTGTTTTTTGCACTGATCAGGAGTAGCTCTCCTAATTTCGTTGTATACTCTATGTTCAAAGACAATAAAAGGCATTCTTCTATTCTATTCAAAGTGTTCCTGTTGCAAGACAGTACCACTGCGACACACAGCACAGAAAAATTTCAAGGGCGGTTCCCTGAACAGCAGGCTGAGCTCAGGTCGGTCAGGGGGATTTCCATGTCCTGCGCCCCTTGGGGAGCCCGAGGACTCCCAAGATTGAGGATGGCACGGGATCATATGGCTCCGAACTTTCACGACAGCATTCACGGTTGTCCTGAGAGCCCGACTCCATGCTAGCGCATTGTTGGGTCTCCCTGTCCACCACCTGTCTTTATCGGTTGCACAGCTTGGAGTTTGGTCCTTGTCCCGTTCCCTGTCTTGTCAAAGCAACTTATCTCTTTTACACACACACCTTTGCCGGCACACACACACTCTGGCCAGTGCTGCTGCTTCCAGCAGTCTTTGTCTCTCACTTTGGAGACTTGCTTGCTTCTTTTGTCCTAGCTCTAGGACTGTCCCTCTCTTGGGGACTGTGCACAAATCTAAATACCTGCCTGTTCAGACCATTTCCTGGTACACTTCTGCAACACAGGAAAAGCGGTATCCACAGGACTTACTAACAAAAAAAAAAGAATTCTTCACACACCATCGCAAAACAATTTTGATACTAACACACAGACACAGGCCTTTAGGTAATGGAGAAGCCTTACTCCACATAAGCAGCCTCTCACCAAGAGCTGCTGAGTTTACAAACCTCAATTCTCAACATTCCCCAATGCTAAGAGTAAGCAGAAAAGTTCACAAAGTCTTACATGAATCTCAACAATTAGTAAGTGTAGTAGATCAATGCAAGACAAATCAGACACACACACTAAAAGCGAAAAATACAAGAAGCCAACCCACTATCATCATGTTCAACTGCCCCCTCTGGTTGCCTTCATTCATCCACACACATCATATACCTGTTCACACTTTTGCATCAGACTCTGACTACAAACTTTTAGGGTCTGTTGAGGAGAGCGAAGTACTGCTTTGACCTGGGCGAAAACTCACTATTCTCAGGTGCAACCAGTACTACATTCAGCAGACTTCTGTGAAAAAGGCTCTGCTTACCTTTTTTACAGTGGCCGCTGTCACACAGAGAAGCAGTGATTCCGTCCAAGCGTTCAGTTTCCTCAAGCCTCTCCTGTGGGGAGAGAATTAAATGTGGAAGAGAAAACCGCTCCAACCTGGGCCAAACAGCCGGGGGCCCTCACCACACTTTAATGCTCCTCAGGACTTCGCAAGTTCTTATTCAAACAAAAACAAAATCTACTATGTCTGATGCAGAATGGTTTATTGTATATTATCTGGAAACATTGCACAATAAGCCGGGATGGTCTGTGCAGAGCAGCAAAGGTTCACCAAGGTAATCCACCACTCGCTCTGAGGGGTCCACCACGCCTCGTCCATCTTTATTATTTGCAAAAAGTTATTTTTCCTCACCAGACGATGGCAATCCGCCCAATATTATCTTACCCCGAAGGAAACCTTATTCTCATGAGAACGGTCAACAACCTAGAGAGTTTTTCCCTCTTATCTTACACACACTCACACACACACTCATGTTTGTCTTTCTTTCGGACGACTGGAAATTTCCACACCATCTGTCTATCATACAGAAATTACATCAACTTCAACTTCACATTGAATGTCTTTATACATTTTATATACGTAACCCCTTGCAACTATAATTTCTCTAACAATTCCATATTGGTTTTCCAGGTTACCTTATTTAATAACTATCACAAACAATAGGCCTTGGCCCGTACGGGGGTCTAACCCACGACCTTGGCGTTATTTGCACCACACTCTGACCAGCTGAGGTAGCTGAGCTTCATGTATGCAGTCGGCTGCAACAAAAAAGTGTGCCCAAAAGCAGAGCGCGACGGAGCCACATGGTGTCAAAACACCAGACCGTAGAAGAGCAAAGGTCCCACCGAGATTTGAACTCGGATCACTGGATTCAGAGTCCGGAGTGCTAACCGTTACACCATGGAACCCACAGGGTGATGGCCATAGGGGGCGCCAATTCCCCAAAAGTGCTCTCCCATCCTGCCACTTCTTGCAAGGTCGTGTAGAGATACAAGGGACGGAGGGCAAAGCAAGTGGGGAATTAGCTCAAATGGTAGAGCGCTCGCTTAGCATGCGAGAGGTAGCGGGATCGATGCCCGCATTCTCCAGAAGGCCACCCCCATCAAGGTCTACCTTTTCCCACACTCCACCAGCAGGGAGGCCCACCCGACCCCCACATGGTCCCAGCGTCATGCGAAACACCGCACAGGGGCAAAAATCTGTATGGGCTTCCTTCCGCAGTTCACCTCCAGTGTTGCTGTGCACCCCCACATGATAGTAGCAAGGGTGTTGCTTCCTTATCCATTGCACTCAATGAGCAGCATCCTGGCTGATTTACATGTGTTTGGGACTTGCGTATGATATAACCCCATAGGCCATAGGAGTCATTTTACATGTAACCCTAGTCATATGCGACTGTTTGATTTTCTTGCGTTATCTGATGTAACACAGCTCAGAAAAAGTCATGTTTAGTGGGTAAAAATTCCGTTCAGTGGCATATATCTGATGTAAAATGAATAAATGGATGCTTCATTCACATATCTCTCCCCTGCTGTAAATATACCCTGTTTTGAATTCTCTTTGCCAAAGCATCCAGTCCAGATTCAACTGATCTTTTCCAGGACTTCAAGAGTCACAGAAGAATTGAAAGTACACAAGGCAGTTTTCAGAAGTTTCTAAGGTTCCCACTGTCGTGTGTAACTAGGGTTACACTTGAAATGACACCAATTTTTTGGCCTGTGGTCCCGGCTGCATCATATGCAAATCCCAAAGACATGAAAGTTTGCCAAGATGCTGCTCTCTGAGCGCAATGCACAGACAAACACCACCCGAGCTCCTGCTCTTGCTTCCAAGTGAGAAAATCCCACTATCACGTAAAGGGTTACACTTAAAATGACCCCTGTTGTTTGTGATAGTTACTGCATAAGGTAACCAGGAAAAACAATATGGAACGCTTCACCAGTATGCATGTCATCCTTGCGCAGGGGCCATGCTAATCTTCTCTGTATCATTCCAATTTTAGTATATGTGCGGCCGAAGCAAGCGGAAAGCGGCGGTAGGACTAGTTCCTATTTCACTGGCATAGTTACAGCAACCGTCGCAGTCACGATTTCATGAGCACCCCTTCATTGCCGCAATATCTAGAATTGTTTATTTTTAAAGGCAACACGTCCCCACAACTCCAATGGTTTAGTGGTCATAAATTCCTTTCAGGGGCAGAAGAATTGCTTCTTCAATTACTTGTGAACAAATAGCTACTCCTGTTTACGGTTTATCCTTAACAAAGCCTAGCCACTTGACCAAGGCTTCCCAGAACACATCAGCATTTATTCTTTTTGACTTTTTGCTTGCGGGTAGGAGATGGGACTCATGGACACTATATTTTGACGCGAGGAGAGCGAGCCAGCCATGGTACTTGGGAAGCGCTGGTGTTGGCTGCCAGCGGCCACAGCACTGTTAATACGTTTTTTTCTTTAATTGTATGTAAGCAAACCGAGTGTATATCAGCTGCTCAAATCTTGTTTCTCTATCCATTGCACTCAGAGAGCAACATCTTGCCTAAATTTCACGTATAATACAAGCCAAGCCATAGGCCAAACAGTAGGAGTCATCGGACGTATAACTTCTCTCATACATGATAATTGCTCGAGCAGGAGCTCAAGTCTTGCTTTCATATGCATTGCACTCAGAGAGCAATATCCTGGCTGTTTTTCATGTGTTTGAGACTCACATTTGACATAAGACCAACCATAGGCCATAGGGGTCATTTTACATCTAACCCTAGTTGTACGAAATTGTGGAGATGCGACTGTGTGAAGATATCTGCTTTGAGGTTTGCGGTTGTGGCTATGGGGGGGAGGAGAGAGGCTGGGGTTGGGTGGAGTGCTCCTGCAGCATTGCTAACTGACTGCCCACTTGTTGCAAATTATGTGTCCTGTTGTTAACCCCAGGGGTTGATGGCAAACTGCTGACATCAAAACCAGAGCATGAGCATGAGCAGCTGCTGCCTCTGCCGAAACCCGGGATTGAACCAGGGACCTTTAGATCTTCAGTCTAACGCTCTCCCAACTGAGCTATTTCGGCACATGTCGCATGGCATGGAAGTACGTGTGGCCTCGTACGATTGTACGGCGTACTTGTGCGGGCACTATCCTCACTCTAGTAGGTGCTGCTACAGTGCTTGTCCTCGTTAGTATAGTGGAGAGTATCCCTGCCTGTCACGCAGGAGACCGGGGTTCGATTCCCCGACGGGGAGAGCCTTCTCTGGCTTCTTCTTTTAAGGATAGAATGTAACGAATGTAAGAAAATAAATAAATAGATGCTTCATTCAGATATCTCTCCCCTGCTGTAAATATACCCTGTTTTCAATTCATTGAAAATTCATTGTTTTGGCTCACCAGGAACAACAATATGGAACGCTTCACCAGTATGCGTGTCATCCTTGTGCAGGGACCATGCTAATCTTCTCTGTATCGTTCAAATTTTAGTGTATGCGCTGCCGAAGCGAGCAGAAAGCGGCCAAAAGTTCTTTTTGGTCACGAATGGGACCACAAAGTATGGATTCCCAGTGAGACCAAATTAACAGGATTTGGATGGTGTTTGATAAGAAAAATAGGAAAACTACAAATAAAATGGGAAACTGTAACCAGAAGGCCAGCTTACCCGGGACATACGCCTTGGTGGACAGGACTCAGGTGATTTGCCTGATGGAATCAGATGTTCTGAGCACAAGAAAGGAGCCTGATTGCTGTTGGGAAGAATGAATGGCTGAGCTTGTTTGGTGACTGACAAGGTTTTTCCTTCCCACCCCTGCAGGGAGCAGGGGTCGCATGCTGTGGGACGGTGGCGACCAGGTGGGGCGCTGGCTGCGTGGGGGAGGGGGGATGGGGAGCACGGGCACTGCTGGGATTTGAGCCCAGGATCTCCTGTTTGCTAGACAGGCACTTTAGCCAACTAAGTGATGGTGCCCCCCCCCCCTTATTTGTCTCAGTTTTGCCATTTGGGAAAAAAAAAAAAAAGTTAATGAGATGTTTCCCCCCACTTGATTGAGAGGATGAAAGTGCAGTACTTGTTGAGAGGTGCGACAAAACGGCTCTTCTACGCATGGCTGGCATTGAAGGCTTAATCTGTGGCTTGTCGACCGCTGCGCTTGCAGAAAGCACGTCGCCCAACGTGGGGCTCGAACCCACGACCCTGAGATTAAGAGTCTCATGCTCTACCGACTGAGCTAGCCGGGCAAACATAGCTGCTCTCTGAGAGCAATGGCTCCACAGTGAGACTTATATCTCCTTGGAGTGCACCTTGAGTGCAGGGATGATAGGAGGAGTAATAAAATGGAGCAGGTGGCAAGGTGTCTGTACCCTGGTCTCTGTGGCGCAATCGGTCAGCGCGTTCGGCTGTTAACCGAAAGGTTGGTGGTTCGAGCCCACCCAGGGACGGCTGAGTTTTCCCTCTGCCCTCACTGTAGGAGCTCAGTGAACCACAGAGGCTCCGGGTGATCGCACACAACCAACCATCATTCCCCCACAATCAAGCAGTGGCTTTTGCTCTTATTTTTTTGAATACTTGCAATCCCCACAAACCTGCACAAGTCAGTTTTCAAATGTCTAAAGGTGACCATCATAGACAGGGTTCCTTGTTGCCAGACTTAAGACTTTCGCTCAGTTTTATGGCACAAAAGAAAGGTTTAGTGGATATAAATTCCTTTGGAGGGCAGAAGAATTGCTTGTTCAATTGCTTGTGAACAAATAGCTTGTTCACAAGTACACGGCTGTTCCTGTTCACGGTTTATTCCAAACAATGCCTAGCCACTCGACCAAGGTTTCCCGAAAGGAAGCAGCATTTATTCTTTTTTACTTTTTGCTTACGAGTACGAGATGGGACTCATGGACGCTATATCTTGACACGATGAGAGCGAGCTATCCACGGTTCTTGGGAAGCCCCGGTGTTGGTTGCCAGCGGCCGTAGTAATGTTAACCATCAGTTTCTTCAACTGTATGTAAGTCCTTGAAATGGTCAGTTGAATCTGGACCGGATGTTTTGGCAAAGAGAATTTTCTGTCACTTTGCAGTTTGTGGAGCAACACTTGATAAGGTTGCTTCTTTGCGTTCCATATTGTTATTCCTGGTTACATGGTGATCCAAAACATTGCAAAGGGACAGTTTCAATTAAAACAAGGTTTATCCATGTCAGAGGAGAGATATCTGAATGAAGCATCCATTTATTAATTTTATATTAGATAAATGCCACCGAGAGGAATTCATATCCACTAAACCCTTCTTTTCTGCCATAAAACAGAGAGAAAGTCCTTAATCTGTGAGAAAAAAGCCTGTATATGGTGACCACCTTTAGACATCTGAAAACTGACTTTTGTACTGTCAGTTCTCTGTCACTCTTGTTGTGGGGACGTGTTTCCTTTAATCCATGCTAAGCTTTGCATATCATCACATTCTCACCCGGCGGAGGAAGCAACTCTTTCTGTAACTGCCATTCCCAGCCATCTGTCTTTCAGCATGCGGTTTCTGTAGTGTAGCGGTTATCACGTTTGCCTAACACGCAAAAGGTCCTCGGTTCGAAACCGAGCAGAAACATGTTTTGACGGGCGGGGAATGGGACAAGGACCAAGCCCCAAGCTGTGCAACTGACAGAGACAGGTGGTGAACAGCGAGATCCAACAACGTGTTAGCATCATGTCGGGACAGCCGCAGCCGCCCTGCGAATGCTGTCATGAAAGTTCGGAACCATGGGATGCTGTGCCATCTTCAATCTTGGGAGCCCTCAGGCTCTCTGAGGGCTGCAGGATGTGGTAATCCCCCTGACCGACCTGAGCTCAGCCTGCTGTTCAGGGAACCGCCCTTGAAATTTTTCTGTGCTGTGTGTCGCAGTGGTACTGTCTTGCAACAGGAACACTTTGAATAGAATAGAAGAATGCCTTTTATTGTCATTGAACATAGAGTATACAATGAAATTTGGAGGGCTTCTCCTGGTCAGTGCAAAAAACAGTGTGGTATGCCGGCTGCTCAGCAGCAGACAAAAGAGCTCCGCAGAGGGTCATCAAAACAACTCAGAAAATCATCGGCTGCCCTCTGCCTTCCCTGGAAGACATCTCATGGTCTCGGTACCTCTGCAGAGCCAGAAACATGATTAAAGACCCCTTCCATCCTGGACAGCACCTGTTCAACCTCCTGCCATCTGGGAGGCGCTACAGGTGCATCAAAACCTGGACAAACAGAGTCAAAAACAGTTTCTTTCCCTGGGCCATCATAACTCTAAACTCCCTAACATGACAATTTCTGTTACTCAATGTACCACCTCGTTATCACTATCACTAAGTATTTATTACGTTTTAAGTGCATTATTTTGTTCTTTTATTATGTATCGAATGGGTTTATCATGTGTTGTATGGGTATTTAACAATGTATTGAATGTTTTTTTTTTTAAACTTGTTTTTTGCACTGATCAGGAGTAGCTCTCCTAATTTCGTTGTATACTCTATGTTCAAAGACAATAAAAGGCATTCTTCTATTCTATTCAAAGTGTTCCTGTTGCAAGACAGTACCACTGCGACACACAGCACAGAAAAATTTCAAGGGCGGTTCCCTGAACAGCAGGCTGAGCTCAGGTCGGTCAGGGGGATTTCCATGTCCTGCGCCCCTTGGGGAGCCCGAGGACTCCCAAGATTGAGGATGGCACGGGATCATATGGCTCCGAACTTTCACGACAGCATTCACGGTTGTCCTGAGAGCCCGACTCCATGCTAGCGCATTGTTGGGTCTCCCTGTCCACCACCTGTCTTTATCGGTTGCACAGCTTGGAGTTTGGTCCTTGTCCCGTTCCCTGCCTGTCAAAACATGCTTCTGCTCGGTTTTGAACTGAGGGCCTCTTGCATGTTAGCCAAACATGATAAGCGCTACAACTACAGAAAATGCATGTTGGGAACGGATGGCTGGGAATAGCAGCTACAGAAGGAGTTGCTTCCTCTGCTGGGTGAGAATGTGACAATATGCAAAGCTTAGAATGGATATCCCGTGTCGCTGAAGTACAGCATGTGGTGTTTCCGTAGTGTAGTGGTTATCACGTTCGCCTCACACGCGAAAGGTCCCCAGTTCGAAACTGGGCGGGAACATGCGTCTTGCGAACTCACAAGGGACCCTCAGCATCCATTTGCTCATTTTACATCAGATAAACGCCACTGAAAGGAGTTTAAATCCACTAAACCTTTTTTTTCTGCCATGAAACAGAGAGAAAGTCCTACATCTGGCAACAACAAACTCCCTATATGATGACCACCTTTAGACATCTGAAAACTGACTTAAGTGCTTTCAATTCTTCTATGACTCTTGAAGTCCTTGAAAAGGTCAGTTGAATCTGGACTGGATGTTCTGTCAAAGTGAATTTTCTGTCATCTTGCAGATTGTGGAGCATGCAATCAACAGTTGATGAGGTTGCTTCTTTGCGTTCTGCGTTGTTATTCCTGGTTAAATGGAGATCCAAAACATTGCAAAGGGACAGTTTCAATTAAAACAAGGTATATCCATGTCAGAGGAGAGATATCTGAATGAAGCATCCATTTATTCATTTTACATCAGATAAACGGCACTGAAAGGAATTTAACATTGAAATTTTGTTGGCTGCTACCTTGGCCAGTTCTGTCTCTCTTGCAAAAGAGATTCCGAATCTCAATGAGACTTCCTAGTTAAATAAAGGCAGACAGATACATAAAATTAATAAAATAAAACAGAGAGAAAGTCCTAAATCTGGAATTCGATGAACTGTAGTAGAAAGCTTTTTTTGTTGAGAGTTTTCTTTAGTTGGAGTTGTGGACACGTTTTCCCTTTTAAAACCAAACAATTCCAGATATTGTGGCATCGAAGGGGGTCTCATGAAACCGTGACTGTGACGGTTGCTCTAACTACGCCGTTGAAATAGGAACTAGTCCCACCGTTGCTTTGTGGTTGCTGCGGCAGTGCATATTCTAAAATTGGAACGATACAGAGAAGATTAGCATGGCCCCTGCGCAAGGATGACAAGAAAATTTGAGAAGTGTTCCATATTGTTTTTCCAGGTTACCTTATCTAATAACTATCACAAACAATAGGCCTTGGCCCGTACGGGGGTCTAACCCACGACCTTGGCGTTATTTGCACCACACTCTGACCAGCTGAGGTAGCTGAGCTTCATGTATGCAGTCGGCTGCAACAAAAAAGTGTGCCCAAAAGCAGAGCGCGACGGAGCCACATGGTGTCAAAACACCAGACCGTAGAAGAGCAAAGGTCCCACCGAGATTTGAACTCGGATCATTGGATTCAGAGTCCGGAGTGCTAACCGTTACACCATGGAACCCACAGGGTGATGGCCATAGGGGGCGCCAATTCCCCAAAAGTGCTCTCCCATCCTGCCACTTCTTGCAAGGTCGTGTAGAGATACAAGGGACGGAGGGCAAAGCAAGTGGGGAATTAGCTCAAATGGTAGAGCGCTCGCTTAGCATGCGAGAGGTAGCGGGATCGATGCCCGCATTCTCCAGAAGGCCACCCCCATCAAGGTCTACCTTTTCCCACACTCCACCAGCAGGGAGGCCCACCCGACCCCCACATGGTCCCAGCGTCATGCGAAACACCGCACAGGGGCAAAAATCTGTATGGGCTTCCTTCCGCAGTTCACCTCCAGTGTTGCTGTGCACCCCCACATGATAGTAGCAAGGGTGTTGCTTCCTTATCCATTGCACTCAATGAGCAGCATCCTGGCTGATTTACATGTGTTTGGGACTTGCGTATGATATAACCCCATAGGCCATAGGAGTCATTTTACATGTAACCCTAGTCATATCCGACTGTTTGATTTTCTTGCGTTATCTGATGTAACACAGCTCAGAAAAAGTCATGTTTAGTGGGTAAAAATTCCGTTCAGTGGCATATATCTGATGTAAAATGAATAAATGGATGCTTCATTCACATATCTCTCCCCTGCTGTAAATATACCCTGTTTTGAATTCTCTTTGCCAAAGCATCCAGTCCAGATTCAACTGATCTTTTCCAGGACTTCAAGAGTCACAGAAGAATTGAAAGTACACAAGGCAGTTTTCAGAAGTTTCTAAGGTTCCCACTGTCGTGTGTAACTAGGGTTACACTTGAAATGACACCAATTTTTTGGCCTGTGGTCCCGGCTGCATCATATGCAAATCCCAAAGACATGAAAGTTTGCCAAGATGCTGCTCTCTGAGCGCAATGCACAGACAAACACCACCCGAGCTCCTGCTCTTGCTTCCGAGTGAGAAAATCCCACTATCACGTAAAGGGTTACACTTAAAATGACCCCTGTTGTTTGTGATAGTTACTGCATAAGGTAACCAGGAAAAACAATATGGAACGCTTCACCAGTATGCATGTCATCCTTGCGCAGGGGCCATGCTAATCTTCTCTGTATCATTCCAATTTTAGTATATGTGCGGCCGAAGCAAGCGGAAAGCGGCGGTAGGACTAGTTCCTATTTCACTGGCATAGTTACAGCAACCGTCGCAGTCACGATTTCATGAGCACCCCTTCATTGCCGCAATATCTAGAATTGTTTATTTTTAAAGGCAACACGTCCCCACAACTCCAATGGTTTAGTGGTCATAAATTCCTTTCAGGGGCAGAAGAATTGCTTCTTCAATTACTTGTGAACAAATAGCTACTCCTGTTTACGGTTTATCCTTAACAAAGCCTAGCCACTTGACCAAGGCTTCCCAGAACACATCAGCATTTATTCTTTTTGACTTTTTGCTTGCGGGTAGGAGATGGGACTCATGGACACTATATTTTGACGCGAGGAGAGCGAGCCAGCCATGGTACTTGGGAAGCGCTGGTGTTGGCTGCCAGCGGCCACAGCACTGTTAATACGTTTTTTTCTTTAATTGTATGTAAGCAAACCGAGTGTATATCAGCTGCTCAAATCTTGTTTCTCTATCCATTGCACTCAGAGAGCAACATCTTGCCTAAATTTCACGTATAATACAAGCCAAGCCATAGGCCAAACAGTAGGAGTCATCGGACGTATAACTTCTCTCATACATGATAATTGCTCGAGCAGGAGCTCAAGTCTTGCTTTCATATGCATTGCACTCAGAGAGCAATATCCTGGCTGTTTTTCATGTGTTTGAGACTCACATTTGACATAAGACCAACCATAGGCCATAGGGGTCATTTTACATCTAACCCTAGTTGTACGAAATTGTGGAGATGCGACTGTGTGAAGATATCTGCTTTGAGGTTTGCGGTTGTGGCTATGGGGGGGAGGAGAGAGGCTGGGGTTGGGTGGAGTGCTCCTGCAGCATTGCTAACTGACTGCCCACTTGTTGCAAATTATGTGCCCTGTTGTTAACCCCAGGGGTTGATGGCAAACTGCTGACATCAAAACCAGAGCATGAGCATGAGCAGCTGCTGCCTCTGCCGAAACCCGGGATTGAACCAGGGACCTTTAGATCTTCAGTCTAACGCTCTCCCAACTGAGCTATTTCGGCACATGTCGCATGGCATGGAAGTACGTGTGGCCTCGTACGATTGTACGGCGTACTTGTGCGGGCACTATCCTCACTCTAGTAGGTGCTGCTACAGTGCTTGTCCTCGTTAGTATAGTGGAGAGTATCCCTGCCTGTCACGCAGGAGACCGGGGTTCGATTCCCCGACGGGGAGAGCCTTCTCTGGCTTCTTCTTTTAAGGATAGAATGTAACGAATGTAAGAAAATAAATAAATAGATGCTTCATTCAGATATCTCTCCCCTGCTGTAAATATACCCTGTTTTCAATTCATTGAAAATTCATTGTTTTGGCTCACCAGGAACAACAATATGGAACGCTTCACCAGTATGCGTGTCATCCTTGTGCAGGGACCATGCTAATCTTCTCTGTATCGTTCAAATTTTAGTGTATGCGCTGCCGAAGCGAGCAGAAAGCGGCCAAAAGTTCTTTTTGGTCACGAATGGGACCACAAAGTATGGATTCCCAGTGAGACCAAATTAACAGGATTTGGATGGTGTTTGATAAGAAAAATAGGAAAACTACAAATAAAATGGGAAACTGTAACCAGAAGGCCAGCTTACCCGGGACATACGCCTTGGTGGACAGGACTCAGGTGATTTGCCTGATGGAATCAGATGTTCTGAGCACAAGAAAGGAGCCTGATTGCTGTTGGGAAGAATGAATGGCTGAGCTTGTTTGGTGACTGACAAGGTTTTTCCTTCCCACCCCTGCAGGGAGCAGGGGTCGCATGCTGTGGGACGGTGGCGACCAGGTGGGGCGCTGGCTGCGTGGGGGAGGGGGGATGGGGAGCACGGGCACTGCTGGGATTTGAGCCCAGGATCTCCTGTTTGCTAGACAGGCACTTTAGCCAACTAAGTGATGGTGCCCCCCCCCCCTTATTTGTCTCAGTTTTGCCATTTGGGAAAAAAAAAAAAAAGTTAATGAGATGTTTCCCCCCACTTGATTGAGAGGATGAAAGTGCAGTACTTGTTGAGAGGTGCGACAAAACGGCTCTTCTACGCATGGCTGGCATTGAAGGCTTAATCTGTGGCTTGTCGACCGCTGCGCTTGCAGAAAGCACGTCGCCCAACGTGGGGCTCGAACCCACTACCCTGAGATTAAGAGTCTCATGCTCTACCGACTGAGCTAGCCGGGCAAACATAGCTGCTCTCTGAGAGCAATGGCTCCACAGTGAGACTTATATCTCCTTGGAGTGCACCTTGAGTGCAGGGATGATAGGAGGAGTAATAAAATGGAGCAGGTGGCAAGGTGTCTGTACCCTGGTCTCTGTGGCGCAATCGGTCAGCGCGTTCGGCTGTTAACCGAAAGGTTGGTGGTTCGAGCCCACCCAGGGACGGCTGAGTTTTCCCTCTGCCCTCACTGTAGGAGCTCAGTGAACCACAGAGGCTCCGGGTGATCGCACACAACCAACCATCATTCCCCCACAATCAAGCAGTGGCTTTTGCTCTTATTTTTTTGAATACTTGCAATCCCCACAAACCTGCACAAGTCAGTTTTCAAATGTCTAAAGGTGACCATCATAGACAGGGTTCCTTGTTGCCAGACTTAAGACTTTCGCTCAGTTTTATGGCACAAAAGAAAGGTTTAGTGGATATAAATTCCTTTGGAG